TGTCAACGTAGGAGGGGGAAGTGTCGGTACTTCCATTGTGCGCCTTTACTCTTAATGTTATTTCCACCTATGAATTTCCGAGAAACTCGTGTACCGTAATATTTTCGGAGAGGCGGTCAAAGATGGGAATGAAGGATCTTTGAAGGATTTGTTACCCACTACAGAAGTTTGTCCCAAATCATGCGGGGACTTGGACTCTGCGCAGGCAGGACGAGCATGCGGTCAGCGTTATCCAACGCGCTGTCGAGAGGACGATGCTAGGAGTAACCCTATACACGCAAGTGCAGAGGGGAATCCGGAGTTCCGAACTACGCCAACGATCGAAGATCAGGGACGCTGCCGTTTTCGCCAAGGAATCGAAGATAAGGTGGGCCGGACACGTCATGCGATTTTGCGATGACCGTTGGACCAGAGCGGTTACCGACTGGATCCCTCGGGACGTCAAACGAACACCGGCCCGATGGTCAGACTTCTTCACGAAAGCTCTGAACGAAAGGAATGAAGGACTTCGTGTCCCTCGAGCGAGGAGGATCCACTGGACCACTCTAGCACGCGACAGGGACGAATGGAGACGTTGCTGGCGCCCGCTCGAGCAAATCGATGATCAACGGGACGACAGGTGATACAGGTGAGGTGATCTAGCATGGCTCACTCTTGGCGCGGTTGGCGGGGTACGCCCACCGACTATCTAATCACTCGCCGCAGGTCTATACGTGGCGAGTGATTAGATAGCAGAGAGAGCGTAGTGTTGAAGAGGGCACAGCGATGAGAGTCGCATCAATGCGCAAATCAACGGGCAAGGAAGGGGTCCCATTTCTCGGGTTTCGGGCCGTTTCAATGGTTTCTTCTTCATCCCTGCTCCACTGACCACCTCTACCCTTATTTCCAATGAGCTAACTTTTCAAATTCTGCCTCCAACCTCACCAAGGCTCGTAACAGTTTACTCACGCAATTTCCGGAAGGTGCAGACTCCTCAACGTTTACCCGATGACACGGCTGCTTACGCAGCGAGATATGGACTGTACGATGGTGAATCGTAACACACACCATCGATCAATAGACCTAATGCTTCCTAATATTTTGAAACTCAGGAACATATTGCACATCAAAAGCCCACTATGAAGCTTTCGAACATTCCAATTCTTGTGAATAAACTTTTGAAAGGTTACTGTATGCACAATATTCGAAGCTACAAGGAGAATTATGACACAATGTTTATACTAAATATGCTTATTAGTTCACACTTGAAAGTTCTTACAAAGTATGATCTCAGTTATGCGTGGAAGAGATACTAAAGCTTCGCGGAAGGATACAGTAAGTGAAGTTAAAAATGGGATTCTGTACACACTAGGCACGGGAAAACTTAAACACCGGTGATATAAAAAAAGATTATGGAATTCATTCTAAACGGGAAACTGAAGCGACAAAGATCACAATTGGAGATAGATCTACATATACAGATTGAATTCCAAAAAGCGGGAGCTATCACGCATTCATCATCCGTAAATTGTGCAGATAAATTATGCTCACAAATTACCTACACACATTGCACATAAAGGAAATCAGAATTTGAAACATATCGAAAATCGTAAACGAACATTTGTGTCAGTGATACGCGGTTCACAAGGATATGCATGGGAATAGATGTGATGAAGCAAGATAAAACGAATACTCGAACCAATGTCGCACTGCTAAAGGCTTAGGGCAACATATTAGACGGGCAATTATCACGAGCAGGTTACATCGGTGCAATCAGAAACAACTATAAAATGCTACTTTAAACACGTGAAAATCCTTGGCCATTGAATATTACTTAAGAAGATTTTACCATAGCCTATTCATTGAAATGAATGGAATTTATTCAGCGACGAATTTTGATCTGCACGAAAAAAGATTTAAACTAAAACACTCAACTGAATAGTTCTTATTATTAATCTGCGCTCCAAGTCCATCTGGTCCATCAAACTACAAAGGGCGAGGCGCACCTAAACGTCCGCAAGTACACAAATTGGTTATAGCCGACGTGAACGATTGGGCAGCAAGTCATATAACACAGAGATACAAACTTGTTGACAAAACTCTGCGTTACAGTACTCCCCGCTCCCTTTTCGGATGACCGAAGTAGCGCTGCTCCTTCTTCGCTGAACAAAGAGTATTGTAAGAAAACAGCAAAAAAAAAACTCCGGTTCGTTACATTCGTAGGCATCAAAAATCCCACAGGAAAAGGGTACTAACTGCATCCACTTACCTGATGATTTCTTCAACAGAGCCGCACTCGAAGCGCCAGATAACTTCAAATCCAAAGGTGCAACTGACGGATTCGAACCCAGAAGAGGGAATGATCTCTTCTTCTTTTTCGACATGCTGGTCTTATCACTTGAAGTGCTAAACGATCAATTAATGGATATATAATGCAGTGTTCATAGTTGGCGATCGTACATGCGACTCAGGCGAGTAGTGCGGTAGTCGACTTAGGCGCGGCGCCGCAAGGGCCAAGGAACCGTATTAATTTCGGAGTGATCATTTTGTACTCCTACTGACTAGTATAGGGCGCCATTCGTTGCGGGACCCACTGCCTTAACCCGCGGGGATCCCATGTGATCGCGGTTGAATTCGAACATTCCAGCTTCTCACGCATGTCAAGTGTCTGCCCTCACCCCCCACCCCCCTAGACTGGCGACACTGCCCCTGGCTCACGGATTCCCCGCTCCACATTGTTCACTAACTTCGTATATTTAGTTTATTTACCTCTCTCTCGCTTAGCCATCTCGATCAAACTCGCCTAAAATAGACACTCGCCTACTCGCCCTATCTCGCCTGAACGCTTGCTAGGCGGAACAAACCAATAACAACGTATAGTCTCCATGCCTAATCGCCGTCTGCTCTCGATCGCCTATATCGTATTTTCAACCTACACACAACAGACTTCGACACTCCATAAAAGACGTACACTGATTGGCAATGTGAACACCATGGGTCCGGAGTGTAGTATAATAAATCTATACTGCGATTATTAAGTGCTGAAATGATAGATGGGGTCTTAATGCGTAGAATACAAGAGACCATACGACTAGGAAAAAAATGAAAGCGAGCTGACGTGGGAAAACAATAGTAGGAATTTGAAATACTAGATTGAGGAAAAAGTCTTGAGCAAAAATTTCATTTTTTTAATTTCTCGGAAGACCAATAGAATGGGTCCCATATTGTTGGAAGATGGAAGGTTCCCAAAACTTCGCTTCGGTGGCATCAACTCGCATTTGTACGTGTAAAGCACTAATGACTTCAGGTAATGTCAGTCACTCTTTTTCCTCAGTTTGGACGGAAGCCGCATTTTGACACCCAATGCTGTCTACATTTATGCTGCATTCAAAAAAGCCAGCACAGGACTCAATGCCCGCGATTGATATCAGCGCTACCTTCAGGGCGAAATCTGTTCAAAACGGGGTAACGTCGTCTTGGATGCGCGACTGCTGTGGACAGTGAGACTTCGCGGAATGCCTAAGATGTGGGGACCAGTGCTAGTAGTCGCCAATTGTCGACAACACTTGGGCGCTGCCAGAAAACTGTCCCCATCATCGTAATCCAGGCTACCATAAGGTAGTCTCAAGTTAAGGGAGACACCAAATTCCTGGCTCGGGTAAAGCGTCAAGGATCAGTGTACGGACACCATTGCTTGTACGCCCTCACAGAAAGGAGCTGAGTTCAACATACCAACCGTACGTGGTATCAAAAGTCACAGCCCCTCGGGGAACACTCCAAAAGAAGCCAGACTTTTCATTATAATAGGATGCCAAGAAAATCACGAACAAAATGAAGGGAAGGAGAAATATGTATTTAGCTACATAGACTGAGAATCAAACACACCTGCTGCACATTTCAGCTTCGCTTCCATCCGTTTCTACCTCACTTCCACTGTACGTCAAGTTGAATCTAAAAATATTGGATTTTTCGGAAAGTTCCCGTCGCGTGTGGTAGCTCACTTAAATAATTTATTTCTGGAGCGCTTCTAGAAAGCTGTTTTATTCTTATTTCATATGTCTTGAGAAAGCGCGTTTCTCACTCTATTCAAATGCACTGTTCTTTTTACACTAAAATACTTCTTCCCTCCCTTCGAAGTCTTGAGTACAATGTTTTCAACAGGCTGTTCCGCATGAGTTCCTTGTTTCCCAGTCACATTTGGCTGCAGCAAGTCGCGATATTAACTGAGTAGTTTTCTCGGATCTCAAAAATAACCGTTCCTGAACAGGTCGCTTTTGAATAGACGTACTCTGCACGCCCGCTGATAGATGCACGCCGACCCCTCGCCGTCCGAATATGCGTTTAACGGAGGAGCACTGAATAAGGCAGCACCAATGACCACTTGCCCTCGCCACCGCAGAGTTGTAATAACTAGGGGTTCACATTGCTAGTAACGGGGTGACTCAATCAGGATGAAGATACATACATATAAGAATAAAGATACGAAACAAATGAGGAGTCTATCACAGCACGGGCCAAGTGGCGCGACGCTCAGAATTCGCGAATTTTCGACAGCAGCATCGGATGTGAAGCCTTCCCCTCCCTTCCCCCAGTTATGAATGAGACACACAGAGTTTCCTAGAGAAGAGCTATCTTTAATGCTATGCCATAAATACAAAATAAATAGGTACAGAATCCCTTAACGGAGGAATTGCAGCTTTCCCCTAAATTCTAGACAATGTAAATTCGGCAAGTTCAAGAGATATCCAGCAACAAGCAACACGACACCGAAACAGTCGCAACGCGCAGTCTTATGAGTCGCACTAATTAGTTTCTCGAAATCATGATGCACTAAAGAGAACATACGCGTCTTTTCTTTTCTTTGCTCTTTTTAGGTTTCGGAGTCTTTGGTCCTTCAATGAAACTGGGAGTGGCACACTTTACTACAGGTGATGAGTGAGAATCCTTGAAAGAAAGAAGGTTGCACAAAGTTCAAGGAAATCAAAATATTGCGCTTACCTGTTTGTCTGTAAAAAGGCTACGAACTTGCGGTACTTGCGGTACACTGGACGGAGGATTCCTTTCGACAACTGACGGAACGGAAGAATCATTTGAAGGGAGTGTTTGCAAAACCTGAACGCTGAACTGTACAGGAGCATTCATGGTTGGCCATTATATACTGTGAGTTGAAACAAAATCGTTGGTGCACCATATTTCGATGCTATTTCAAAACCAATCTTTCAAAAATCAATTCTTAGCATAAAAAAACTAATAGCGGTTTCTGAAATGATCGCCATGACTTTGCCTGCGCACAGTTCTTCAGACGTTTTATCAAAATACACATGCGACAAGCAAATAGTGGTCATCAGTTTCGTCAAAAAAGGAATCATATTCCAGTGCCTGATAGTGAGCAGCTATTAATTTTATTGCTTGAGGGTGAAATCGCCTCGACTAAGAAAACTGATCCGTTTTCATCGAAGCCGATATTGATTACTAAAATTTCTTATGAACTTCTCAAACCATATGCTAACACTCCAGGAACGCGGCGCAGAGTAATTTCCCCACCTTCATGGAACGCAACTTATCCGGATTTTACTGCAGTGTTTGCGTGAGGGAACTTGGTAGATATAATAAAATCCTGCTGTATCAGCCCCCACCCCAAATCTAGGCTCCCCTCCATCAGCGCTTTTGAATTCTTGGTACTAAATTGATGACCAATACTTGCTTGCAGTATGCGCGGCGTTCGTCATAGATCTGAAATTTGTGAAGGCTAAAACGACCATGCTGAAACCGCTAATATTTCTGGAGTTCATGGTTAGAGTTAGAGTTAGATAGATTCATAGTTAGAATCGATTTTTGTAATATGTTAAAATGGCAAAAATATCACCCGGGATTTTCCCCCGGGTACGCGGCAGGAGGCCCGTCGCGCGAAAAAAGGACAGAGTCAGCGGACGAGTCGCAGCGCGTGCTGTGCGATGTAGGACGTACAATGGC